AAAAACTCTGATGTGATAACGTGGACCCCACGACCTGGAGCCACCCTTGATCTGGCTAGGATGCTAAAGGACCCCACAGACAGGTTTGGCTTAAATATTTATAGAGGATAAAGATGCTTTATGAATTTTTTTCAATATTATGAGAAAATAAAGGGCTCACTGCTGGCCTCTTGACAGTTTCCTATTTTGTTTTGTATGCAGTTAGATCCACACACCACTTTTTAGAATAGAAATCTTACTGTTTAAATAAAATGAGCTATCTAATAATTAGCTCTCAAATCTAGGGCAAAAGATGACTGAGTTTTTTTCCTAAGTTTTTCATCCCATGTAATAGTTACTCAGATGTTTTCCTCATCCTAAAACCTTACCAGAAAGTAAAGAGTGAGGAAGGTTTTTTTTTTTTTAAATTAAAGACCATCATTATAGCTAAAAACTAAATTGTTTTATGTAAGTAAAAAGCAATAAACATGGAAGTGAGTTTTCATGTCAATGCAAACATTACCCAACTGTCTGTTCCACAGACAGTACATTTGAGAACAAGTAACAATACACACTGAAAGTGTAATTCAAGAAAAGTTAACAGTGATGTCACAGACCTATATTTTTTTTTTTTGAATACTTGTCTTGAGCCAAATGAAACCATAACGGCCTATTTAGAAAAGGATTAAAGATTTTGGAGAGTGGCACACACAATTACCAAAAACACACCCTCTCCCAGCTTTATGGCCTATTTCGTCTTTTACTAACTTCCTATATCAAAGGAGTATTCAAATCTGGTCAATTCTCCTTCATTAATCTCTCACAAATCCATCACTCATCTCTAGCCTCTTCTGTCCTGGCCTTAATTCCACCTTTCCCAATTTCTTACCCAGATTCCTGCAGTGGCTGCTGACTTGTGTCTGCGCCTCCTCCCCCATGCCCCTTGATCCATACTCCATGCCAGGGTTTTCAATTTGCTGGTCACAATCCATTGGCAGGTCATAAAATCAGTGTCATTGCTCACAACTAACATTGAAAATAAATAAAATAGAATGAATGCAATGGAATAGAATAGAAAATACCTGAGTGCATTGCATATGACACGGGTATTATTTCATGAGACTTTTGTTTCACAGGTGCCTTTTCACATGTGGACCTTCAGCGTCCTAATGTAAAATGTAGTTTTTACTGGGATTATAGACAAAATGTTTGAAAGCCCCAACTCTACATTGCTGACAAAGTCATCTTTCTAAAATGCAAAACTATTCCTATTCCTTTCTCGCTTAAAATTCTTTAGGTTATCCTCAGTACCTCCAAGATAAAAGTGTTTTTTTATTTTCCAGGTCAGGAGTGAAAAAAGGGTTTTAATTATTCCCATTATTAGCAGGGTATTCAAGAACCTTTGTCATTTGGCATTTGCCTAACTCTCCAAAATCATCTTTCTCCACTCCTCCAGATATACTGGACGGTGGTAATTTTCAAATGTTAATGAACATCATAATAACTAGGGGAGCTCACATAAATGCAAATACCTGGGTTCTCCCACAGAGATGCTGATTTAGTAGATCTGAGACAAAGCCTAGGAATTTGCATTTCTATCCTTTGGCCGTGCCAAAGCATTCTGGGTAACAAGAGAATCAATGTTGTTGGGTGTCAGAGCTAACTCAAAGTGTAGGGGACACACAGATGCTAAGTGCTTAACTGCCTTGTCAGGGGAGGGGAGGACAGGAGAGCCAAGGAAGTATGCTGTCAAGGAAAGCGCCATCTGGGTCATGGCAGTTAGAGATGAAGAGAAGGCTACAAGTAAGTGATTAGAGAGAAGAAAGAGATTCCAGTCAGAGTCAGTGGCATGTTCTGGAGAAGGCAGTTGTAAATGGTATCACGGGTTTGGTGAATGCCATACTTCAAATGAGGAAATAAATACATGCCATTCATTCAGAAAAAGTTTATTGAGCTGCTTCTGTATACCTGGCATCACACTAGATATGGGGGATATGGCTGTGGAAAGGTCCTTGTCCTCATGAAGCCCCCTGTCTTCCTGAGTATGGGCTGGTGAGTGCAGGAGGAGGAAAAGGATGATGAGCAGGAATGCCAGGTGGGGGCCAGGGTTAGAAAGGCCTCGTGGAGCTGCAGAAAGATATAAAGCAAAGCAGGAACATTACAGAGTTGTGTTCTAGAAAAACCATTTCAGCTTTGCAGAGGAGAATGGACTGCGGAAGAGGCTATAGGTAGAACCATTGGAGTCAGGGAGGCTGGAGGGGAGGCTGTGGCTTTATTTAGGAAGAGATTAGCAAGGCTCTAAACTGGGACCAGGGCAAGGAGTTGGAGAAGATTGACATATATTTAGAAGTGAGAAGCTTTAGGATTTGGTAAATAATTTATTACAGAAACCAGTGCTTCTGTCACTTTGGGAATACAATGGAACAAAAGTATAGTTTTGAGAAGAGGGACAGTTACCACAACCTGCTGAATCTTTACTAGGTGGATGCCTGTTTCCCTCCTTATATTTCTCTTACCCGCATTACTTCCTATTCCATTCCCAGGATTAAGATTCCATGATCCATGCAAGGATCTGTCTTCACATGGGATGGAAAGAACTCTAGGATTATGAGAGAACTTCATTATCCACATTGCTGACTGGGTTTAAAGATAAAATTGCCCATCTGTCTGTCAGCTATGCTTTGATTAGTGCAGTAAGAGTGCTGTATATTAGAAACACAAAATTCCGAGAATATCTCAAAGATAGGCTAAAGTTTATGTTTAACAAATATTTATTGAGCACTTGCTATGTGCTCAGCCAAGGTTGCTACTTTCATCAAAGTTATATTCTATGAATAACTGGGGTGGAGAGGCAGGAGTGTGCAGACATCCACAAAGTCAATATGGCCAGATTATATTCAACATTTTCATAATTTAGTTATTTGAACCAAAAGCATCCAAAAAAGTGGTTTTCAAACTTCCCCCCCCAACCCCCCAGACACAGACTTTTTTCTTCACATGAAATCTGACTTGGAAACCCATCATACTAAACAATTAACAAGAGCTGCTCTGGTTTAGGCGACAGTGGGACCCCTGGGAGTCATTTGAGCAGTCTCAAAGCTACTAATCTGGTTGACTTTTGCTATTTAAGTGGCAACTTTTGCCTTCATCATTTGCTGCTTTCTCTTTGTGTCTTTAAGCAAGGGCATCATAGAGCCTCCCCAGGGGACTAAAATTTACAAGGATTCCTGGGACTTTGAACCTTATTTAAAAGTCTTGAATGCTGCCGTAGAAGATGAAATATTTCTTCACTCATCCTGGATAAAAGAATACTTCACTTGGGCTGGATTTAAGGATTATAACCTTGTGGTCAGGGTATGCTATCAAGTATTATTTGTCTTTGCTTTCTTGTATTATGGAAATACATGGAACCCCCTTCATTTTCCAATTTGTTTCTCAAGAAGCATTCATTAAGCCCTACCAGCTGCCTAACAGAGAACAAATTTGACAATTTGATCAACAATCCTTTGATGAATATTTAGGGAATGTTCTGAAGTCCAGCTTAGGTTTTCTTTTGGAGCATCTTTTATCTTCTGTCACCATGTGTTTGTTGTTTGTGTTTGTGGGTATTTTGTTTTTGTTTTGGCATGGCAGGAACAGCTATTTAAACTGTGGGACTAGAAGGTGGGATCCACCAGAGAGGTGTTCACCTGGAACAAGGTGAGATAGAAGCAGGTAACTCATATCTGTAGCTGTACTGAGGACTGAGTTGCACACACCCAGAGGTAGGCCTAGGACTAGAACTTAAACTAGCTCCAACCCGTACACACAGAGCCACAGCCAAGAGTTCAGGTTATAACCTGGTCACCAAAGCTGAAGGTATATCCAAAAGCAAATTAAGTACAAATAGACAGGGGATGCAAGACAAAGAGGAGGTCCAAAATGGGCCACGCTGGCTGATATTAAGTGTCTGAGGTTGTGCAGGGGAGCAAAGTTGGGAGATGGCATCAGGAAACAGACAAGGCTCACACTGTTAGAGACAAGCACTGGTTACCCTCAGGGTGAGAACTTTCTCAAGTTCACCTTTCAACCCCTGAACAGTAATGCCAGGCAACATTTGCTATTCTCAAAAGCATGATGTCCAAAAACCTGAGGGGTCATTGATAGTCTATGACAAGATTTTTGCTTGTCAGTAGTGAAATAAGTAAGGGAAAGGGTATGCCTGTTCGTACAAAAATGTTAACTCTCTTTTTTTGGGATGAATTATTTTATGATTGGGTCCTTTTTATTTTAGGAACATTAAAACATTCTTCCTTTAATGAAATAAAAAGATAGCAGATATAAGATTTTTTTTTAAAAAAGTTCTGACTTGGCAAAACAAAAGATTAATACTTATATTAGCTCCCAGATATATTTTAAGAAATGGTCTTTGAAATCCAAAGACCTGGGAACCATTGGTCTAAATGATATTTTCAGTTGTACAATTAGTATGAAAAAGAAAAACTTTTGGAAGTTTTTGATAAATAGTTTTCAATGAAACTATTTATATTTAGCTGCTATGTGATGGTGAGAAATATTTCACATGTGATTTATTTCCTCACCTGAAAACTTATGGTGATGCTTGATGTCTCATTACTAATAGTACTTGAGATAAGGATAACCTTCTCTATAAATTTGAAGTTAGTGATATGAAGCAGTGTTGCTAATGCAGACTAGCATTTGAATGTTACCAGTTTCAGGAGAGAGGAGACAGAGAGTGAGACCAAGAGTGAGAGAGAAAGAGACCCTTAATATTAACTTCCAGGTTATTGCTATCATTTCTCATTTAAGGGCATTTGAGCCTTACACATTCTGAGAATTTTTTTGAGACTTGAGCACCGATTTATATTCTTCCCTTTACCATGTCATTTGCACAGATGATTGAGACAGATGACGACTTCAGCCCTTTTCCTGGAGGATATGACTATTTGGTTGACTTTCTAGATTTATCCTTTCCAAAAGAAAGACCACGCCGAGAACATCCCTATGAGGAAGTAAGCAGCAACACTGGTGGAGGTCTTCCTTCCTTTCTTCCTTCCTAAATAAATTATTTATTTTAGAGTAACTTTATAGAAAAGTTACAAGGATAGTGCAAAGTAGTATCAACATCTCACTTTACTATGGTACATTGTCACAACTAACAAACCAGTATGAAACATTGTTATTGACTAAAGTCCATATTTGCTTCTTTTTGAGCTGTTCCCAAGAGACTGGCTTGTCCATGCTTACTTCCAAACACCTGCTGGACCTGAGCTGTTAATAGACCTGTGAGCATTGTTCTCTGCTTGCTTTTTCCTTCTGTCCAATGTTGTCTCCTTCCCCAAGTGAACACATTAGGTGTCTCTGGAAAGGGAGTTAAATCAGCATAAACCAACACATATTTTATTGAGTCCCAATTTTGAGCAAATCCCTCATCTATGGCAACATGATATAAAGGAAAGAGCCAAGGCTTTGGAGACTCTTCCTTTTCCCTCCATCCCCAAATCTAATTGGTCACCAAGACCTTCCCATTTCACACCCTAAATGTTTCTCAAATCTTTTCCCAGTTCTCCTAAATGCTCCTCTCCAGATTGGAAGGCCAAGAAAGGCCATTCACCCTCCTCTTGGAGGAACTAGGTCCTGATGCTGCGTCCTAGCACGGCAGACCTTCGCCTGACTGAACTGTGGAATCATGCTTTTAAATCTCTGTTGGCAAAAGAGTAGATCCTCTGATCTATGTTTATAACCTCAGTTCACAATGGATATAATCGTTTTATAGAAATGGTGCAGAAAAGTGAAATGAACCCAAAATACCAGCCTTCTAATCATTCTGTGTCATTTAATAGGCCTGTCATTTATGAAAGTTTGCCCCTTCTGGCATTAGCGTGATATTTACCAGGGGGAAAATGTGATATAGATACTGAAAAAGCTCCTGTAAACTTTAACACTCGTAATGACATATTGTTAAAACCATCCAATCTTAAGATAACTTCCCTCTATGTTCTTTATATAAGTTATTTTTTTCTCAGAACAGTCCCATAGTAAGCAAATAAGGCTTAGCAAGCTTAAGGTCACATAATTAGCAAGTGCAGGACTGAGACTCAAGACCCTCTCTACTGTCCCCTAATTCTGTGCTCCTTTGGCTATTCCGCAGCTTTAGTGTCAGAAGTTGGGGATTCTGTAAGGGTGAGGGCCTCAGCCATCTAAGTGAAGGTAATCCTGTTCTCTGCCAGGCCGGACACACGGAGCCTGCCGTGAATGTGCAGGTGGAGACTTGAACACTCCACATTTGGAATGATGACAATAGCAAACATTTATTGAATGTGTATTATATGCCAGGCCTTGTTTTAAGTACTTTATGTGCATTGACTCATTAATCCTCACAACAATCTTTTGAGGAATGTACTATTATTATCTTCATTTTATAGATGAGGAAACAGAGGCACAGAATGGTGACCAAGATCACCCATCTAGAACCTGCATTTGAACCCAGCAATCTGACTCGAGTCTGTGCTCTTAGCCACTATGCTCACCCACCTGTTGATCTATTTCCTGTTTTCCTTTCTTTGATTTCTGTTACATTCAGCCTCCTTCCTTTTGTCCTCAGCCTGTGATGTCTGCTCCAGGAGATATCTCTTCTTGATTCTTCATGCCCCTGCCATGATGGGCAGCTGCTTCTCCCAGGGACAGGAGGGCTCCATACTCTGTGCTGCCTGGGTCGCCCTGCTAGTTGTTCCATGTCTATTTCAGATTCGTAGCCGGGTTGATGTCATCAGACATGTAGTGAAGAATGGGCTGCTCTGGGATGACTTGTATATAGGATTCCAAACCCGGCTCCAGCGGGATCCTGACATATACCATCATCTGTAAGTCTGAAAACGCCTGTGGTACCCTGGGCCAATGCAGAGGATGCTGTGGTTATTTATAAACAGAGTCAGTGACTGCCTATGCTCCCAAATTCCGACTGATAGAGGAGATTCCCCCATTAGAACTTCATTCCTTTGTTAGCTTGTTAAAAAACGAATCTTGCTAGGAAGATATAACATACAGAGTCATTTATACATTCATGTAAATGTGTTCTTGATCCCTCCTGGAAGTGGTTTTTGACATAGGAGAGAGAAAGATATTATAAAAGGAAAAGGGTATGTTTGCTAAGACAAGAATGAAGAAGGGGTATTTATGTAGCAAAGATGTGGTCATTGAGTTACAGTGATTTCCCATGTCACATTTTCACCTGCGCCCAACGCTGAGCATGAATTTGGTGGGCTAGTTTAGGGGAATGGCCCACTGAATTTCTGCCTGCCTATACTTCAAAACTGTATAAGTCTTTAAATAATATTTGGAATATTTGAGTTGAAATCTAAGAAAGGGCAATTTGCCATTTTTATATTTGCAAAATAATCACCAAAGGAGGGAATATTCTTTCTTATCATTACTACTGATCCTCTGAAAAATACAGGAATTTAATTTTAAAATTCTAATTATTTAAAATGTATAAGCAAAATACACTATCTAGTTTATACCCTGAGCTTGCAAGCATAGGTGTTTATTAAAATTTCTTTTATGCCTATTTCATTTTGAATGTTTTAAAATTATATTTAAAAATTTAAAGAACATGAAAGTATAAAAATAAAAAGGAGGTAACCCCACCTGGCACTTTCCAGGAAAGCTTATCTGTTTTCTGCCCATCCCTCCACCCACTCTTAAGGCAACTCTTGGTAACAGCTCAGTGTGTGCCCTCCTGGGCCTGTTTCTGGGCATATCAACATTTCTCTAAAAATATTTGTTTTCAATAAAATGTCCTATATAGTTGGTGGGGAGGGAGTGTTATTGTTGCTGTAGTGTTTAACATAATCCTAGTACATATGTTCTGCAGCTTGCATTTTTTACTCATCAATACATCTTAGGCATCCCTCCATACTGGGACATGCAAGCCAACTTAAACTTTTTAACAGCTGTAACTCATTTCACGTTTTGCTGATTTTCAACAGAGCATATATCTGACTTCTTATTCTGGAAAAAAAAGGGAATATGGCAACTTTGGGGAAAATTCCAGAGATTTTTTTCTTAAGAAAAGAATTCCAGCTCAGAAACTTCTAAGATGTTGATGCTAAACACTATCTTGTTATATTGTGTTTTGATTACGAAGGTCATTAGGGGATGTCATAAGGAATCTTGGGAAGCAATCACAGCCCACTTTATCTTTGTTGCTCTTTTTTATTTTTATTTATTTATTTATTTATTTATTTTTGAGACAGAATCTCGCATCTTGTTCTGTCACCCATGTAGAGTGCAGTGACATTATCATAGCTCACAGCAACCTAAACTCCTGGACTCAAGCGATCCTCCTGGCTCAGCCTCCCGAGTAGCTGGAACTACAAGCATGTGCCACCACGCCCAGCTAATTTTTGTACTTTTAGTAGAGACAGGGTTTCACACTTGCTCAGGCTGGTCTTGAACTCCTGAGCTCAAGCAATCCTGCCACCTCGGCCTCCAAGAGTCCTAGGATTATAGGTGTGAGCCACTGCGCCCAGCCTCTTTTTTGCTCCAAAAATGGGATTTGTGAGCTTACTAAACATTTTTCTGGTTATAAAAATAATACCTATCCACTGGTGAAAATTTTAAAAAATACTTTAAAATACAAAAAAAAAAAAAAAAAAATTAAAAATGCAAATAATCCCACCATCCAGAAAGAACAATTTATACTTTGGTGTCTATTTAAACTTTCTTTTTCTGTTTATAAACATATACTCATGTACTTTTTATATGAATAGGATAATACTATACGAACTTTTGTACCTGTATGTTTATCAAAGTAATTTTCCACATTACTCTATTTTTCTACATCATTTATAATGCTCGTCTGCCTAATGCCATATATCTACATGCATCCAATCTTTGGCCTTTAAGTTGTTTCTAACTTTTTACTACTTGAAACAATGACTAAGTGAGTAACCATGTAGGTGTGTCTTATACACATTCATAGCGATTTCCTTAAGGTAAATTTCTAGCCGTGGCATGCTGGGTCCCTTGCCTGCGGTGCTTTCGGTGCACTCTGCCAAGTTGTTCATCAGGAAGCCAATTCACCTTCCCATAAATAACGTATGAGAGGATGCATTTACCTGCCCCTTCACTAATACTAGGTCCTAATGCTTTTGTGTACAGCATATAAATCTAGATTTTTCACATATGAGAATTCCTTAAAGCAAGGGATATCATAGTACAATAAAAATAAGACACAGTCATTGTGTTTTAAGGGATTATCTGTATTCAACACCCTGAAAATTCTGAGGTACATGAACAGCTGAAACAGTACAGAAACACTATCTCTTAGGGAGAGCTGGGTACCAGGCTCCAAACAGATCCTGGCAAAACGACAGGCATGGAATTTCCCTGCTTTATCTCTCTTACAGGTTTTGGAATCATTTTCAAATAAAACTCCCCCTCACACCACCCAACTGGAGGTCATTCCTAATGCGTGGTGAGCAGAATGGGCCTGGGATTCCCCAGGTAAGGTGTCCTGTGGGTCTGGGAGACACCCCATTTTACATACTGTGACACTCTCTTTGGCACCTAAATTAAGCAGGCACCATGGCTGTCAGAAAACTCAACTTTTGAGGGGTTGAGAAGAGCTAATATCACAGGAAGAACATTCAAGTTTAAAAATAAGTAAATAAAACAAACAATGCATGAAGCCAGTCCAAAGTCTATAGAATCTTTGGTTTGGTTGAGGTCAACATTGGTTTGGTTGAGGTGAACATACAGGCAATTAATAAACAAAGCAAAAACTATCCCAGGATGTCAGTGAGTGTTCAGAATTTAATCCCAAACACATGAGAAAAAGCAGCATAAAAAACTGAAAAGGAAAAACCTAAAACCAGAGAGTAAGATGGAAAACATCACCTCTCTGTTTCCAGTAGACCTCTCTCTTTTTTTGGACTGATGAAGATCAGCTTGTCTGGCACAAATCAGATTTGACATGCCTTCCTACAGCTTGAGCTGTGACTTTTATTAAGTGAATTACAAAACCTGTTTCCTCATGCTTGTAATCAAAAGGACCATATAATATTACTACAAAGATAGTAAACTCCTTGACTCATGTATTTATTTATATATCCATTTATTTATTCCACAAACAGCTATCTCATCTCATTGTATTGTAGTAATCCATTCATTGTCTTCCCCAGTAGACCTCAGTGGACACTGAACTTCTTAAAAGTAGAGACTGTTGCCTGGGTAGCCCTAGTGCTTAGCACAGTGTTGAGCACACACATGATTTTATTCCTGATGTGCATTCAAGGATGGAAGGAACAAGTGAATTTCTATCTCCCACTGTCAGTATGACTTACCTCTTCAAATAGGCTTCAACGTCTTTACCAGAAAAATTACAGGTCAAATTAGAATATCTTTTACATTCTTTTCAGTTGCAAAGTTCTTTGTTCTATGCTTTAGGGTAAGGCATTGGGCTAGGTCTTCTAAGTTATGTTTATAAGCTACAAGAGATGCTAAGGACATTCACATGCAGCTATATTACAAGGTAGACTCTCATAAGCCCTATATTTGTTGTACAAATTGAGTGTTGGGAATGCTGAAGAGAGAGGGAATACATCTAATGTTTTGAGATGACCAGGAAGTGCGTTGTAGAGAGGTAGTATTTTGGGAGGCAGGCAAGGGATAGGGAGTTTAGGGAGTGGCTTCAAGATTGAGTGAAGTTAAGCTAAAATAGAGGAAAGGGATGGAAGAATATTCCAGACAGAAAGAATGGATGAAATTAAAAGGTAGAAAAATTCAAGGTGAATTCAAGCAATAGCAAGTCCTCCTGGTAAGGCAGAGAAGTAACGGAAAATAGGAAAGAAGTGTGATGGGAACAGGGAGAATAAGGAGAGTCAAGGGGGCTCAATGCAGATGCCCAGCAGGTTCAGTATCTGTGAAAAAGCAGGAGGTGTGAAAGGCGAGGAGGCAGCAGGTAGGGAGAACGCCGAGTCCAAGGTCTTAGAGATGGAGCAGTTCTGAAAGAAGATGGGTTACAGGTGCTTCTGTATAGGTGGGTGAACGAAATGGAGCAGAGATGAAGGTAATAAGAATCAAGAGGTCAACATGTGCATTTGGAACTTGCCTATTGAGGAGGCAATATAGTATGGTGGCCAATGCCTCAGACTTGGAATATGACTTCTCAAGTTAAAATTCTGGCTCTGTCACCTACTGTATGACCTTGGCAAATTATTGGACCTCTGTGTGTCCCAGATTTTCATCTGTAAAATGAATATAATAATAGCACTCACCTCCCAGCATTATGTCATGGGTATAAGGCATGTCTGGAAGAGTGACTAGCGCATGGTAAGTGAACAGTAGACATTAACCATATCAACCTTATGAAAAAAATAGGAGAGATGTGACTCACATGAGGCCACTTGGTAAATCCACAAGTACTTGGGAATAGAATCATGTTCCAGTTCACATTCCAGTTTTAGATTCTCTCTTACATCAAAGCATCGTAGACTCTATAGCCTGAAATAAAGAATAAAAATAAAAAATGCCCCAGTGCAATAAGATGAAAAAGTATTAAAATGAGATTCATACTGTTATTAATTAATATTATTCATTATTATTATTAATAATTGTTATTCATTAATTCACAGGAATGCAAAGCAATATGAAAAGTTCAAGAATTCACTGGTCAATTAAAAAAAAAAAATTTACTGTTGTTACATCTTGAACACAAGAAGTATATACCAAAGAGACTATACCTTATGACATCAGCCTTAGACAACTACATGTTGCATTTGTGAGATGTTGATATATTTTTATGTTTGTGGATCACTACATAGCCAGGTTCAAAAATATTTTACTATTTCATCCACAATTCTCTGTAAAAGGAACCAGTGAACTCAATAGAAACAAATTCTCTGTGGAAAACCAAAAACAACAAGAGATATGAATACAAGCACAGAAGAAACAGGAAGAGGAAAAACTTCCAAGACTACAATGAGAAATAAGGAAAGGCGACAGGGAGCAGATTTTAGGTGAGAGAGAGGATGGAAAAAGAGAAATAGATCAGTGAGGAACTAGAAGAGGAAAATGGGAAGGAGAAAAAATTAAGATGGAATTTAAAAAGAATAATGTAAAAACAGACATTCTATTCTTTAAAAGATTGATACTCCAAATAGAGCCTGTAAAGACAGTTGAGTAAGAAGGTTTCATAAGTTATTTTCAATTTTTCAAAAAGTTCTGTAGAAATCATGTATTAACCAAAACAGAGAATTCAGAGGCTGCCCTAAAGGGTCAAATTTCAATGGGACTGAAATAATTTACATTAATTTTGATTCATTTAATATCACATTTTAGAATGTGTTAACTTATAAATGCTAACAATTATGTCGATATTTGATCAATGCAAGATATGAACAATAATCAAATGAGTTTTGTGGACAAAAATCTTTCAAAATTAATAGACAAATCAACAATAAAGATCAATATCTTGAAAAAATCAGAAACCCCTCTTCTGAACATTTAAAAACATCATTTCAATGGTTAAAATAGGCAACTAATTTGCCTACTTCTGCTAATGTCTGCAGTGTTTTCATGATGTTCAAATGATTGTTTAAGACACACACATTTTTTTCCTAAGAAAACGTGATTGTTAACTAGTTTTCTGTTTTACATGTTGATGTTTCCAACACAAACACACACTACAGATTTGAATATCAAAATCTATTTTCTGATTACATATCCTACCTTTAATTCTGAAGGTATGAGAATTCGATGGTGGAATTTGTCTCCTCAATCTCTAGATTCATATTTGGTAATAGAAATGTTGATTATCTGCTTCTCATTATGATGAACATCAATAATGTTTGATTATTTTGATTATTCTTACCTCACACATGCACAACAGAAATGTTTGGAATTCAAAATTATATTTTGTGCTTTACATTATATAGTAAATTATTCAATTATTAATGAAAATAAATATAATGTATATCAATATAATGTATGTTAAAATGCCTAGGATGAGCAAATAAAAGATTATTTTAAAATATGCATTTGTTTCCTCCTCCCCAAGTCTATCTTTATTTTCATGCTATTTTTTTTAGTTCTTTCTTTCTGATATCCTAACTCCAACAATTCCTTGATATCACCAGGATCTCCAGGCCATTGACCCAATAACAGTCCCTTATACCGTCACTTCCCTTATTACTCTTCTCCCTGAGTATACCCCACATCACCTTCTCTCTCTCTCTCTCATCTCGTGTCTCACTTCCATTATTCTAATAAAAAACCATGAAATCATCCTTTCTACTTTGCTCTCACATCCACGCTGTCAGCAAATCCTGTCACCTCCACTTTCAAAATATTAATACAACCAGAGTCTGACCACTTTCCACCACCTCTATTGCTACCAAGATCAGAAGAGGAAGGAAACACATAAAGGTAATCTTGGCATTAGGGGCCAAGTTTTCTCCATAGGCCTCTGCCAATTCCAAAAAAGGCCAAGAAGCTGAATGCCTCAAAATTTGCTCAAAGCCCTTCACGGGGGTGCTGAGAAAGCCATTCACTGGGAGGTGGTGCCTCATGGGCTACACAATACTAGTGTGAAGTCGCCCTGAAGGGTGCCAGGGAAGCTGCTGGCTGCTGGGCACTGCCACTCACCTCCCTGTTCTGGAGCATGGCAGGAGGGTGGTACCGGAACCAGGAGGAGAAATTCCTCCTTCCTCTGGTGCCCCTCCAGCACCCTCTACATGACATAGCTTAGCTTCATACCAGCTAGCAAAAGAGAAATATTTATTTTTGCATAACAGGCAATGAAAAGTGGATTTGGAGCTGAGAAGCAATAAATTCATAACTGGCAGACTTGATAACAATGCATGTTGTAATCTTCTAGGGTAGTCACTAAAGGAATAGTAAAATAAAATGTGTAACTACAGAGATAATATGAAATGAAATAACTTAAAAATACTGATCTGAAAGAAGCCAATAAAAGAAAAAATAAAAAATGGGACAAATAGAAAACACCAAGATGGCAAATTATATTAATAATTGCATTGAATGTATTAATAGATGGATTAAATGCTCTCAAAAGACAGACTGGATTTAAAAAAAATTCTTTGCTGCTTATAAGGCATATATATAAAAGATAAGTATATACTGGAAGCTTGTAAGAAAAAAGATGGGGAAATATATACTATGAAAACAGTAATAAAAAGATTGATGATGTGGCTATCTTAATTTCAGACAAGGTGGGACACTTCATAATGATAGAAGTTTTAGTTAACCGGGAAGATATAAAAATCTAAATATGTATGCAAATAATTACATAACCTCAAAATATGTAAAGCAAAGAATGATATAACTAGAAAAAGAAATAGACAAATTTAGATCATAGTGAGATATGTGAACGTATCTCTTTCAGTAAATGATAAACCAATCAGACAAAATAACCTCTAAATATTTGGACGATTTGAACAATACGATTAAAACACTTGACTAAATTGATACATAGAGAAGACTGCCCCTAACAACCACAAAACACCCATTCTTTTCAAGGACACACTGGTATTTCACACAAAATGACTACATGCTGACTATATACTTGCAGCAAATCTCTACAAATTTCAAAGATTTAAATCATATGCATTATATTCTCAAACCACAAGGCAGTTGAGATAAAAATTATAAGATAATTATAAAATCATCATATGTTGGAAATTAAGAAATAAATTTTAAATTTGTGGTTCAAAGTAAACTTCAGGCCCAGATGACTTTACTAGAAAAGTTTCCAAACATTTAGGGAAGACATAATGCAAATTAGTTTTCAACTCTTCTAGAAAATACAAAATGAGAGAACTTTCCCCTAACTCGTTTTTTGAAGCCAGACATAAACATATGACAAGAGCATTTTGAGAAACAAAAATTACAGGTCAACTTCAGAAATGATCATAGATGCAAAATTCTAAACAAAATATCAACAAATAGAATCTGGCAATTTATAAAAAGGATAATTTATCACAATACAGTTGGGGTTTAGTCCCAGAGTGCAACATGAGTTCCACATGTGAAAATCAATATATTTCACCACATTAACTGAATAAAGGGGAAAAGTTACAGGATTATCTCAATATATGTACAAAAAGCATTTGGTTAGTGTTTTAATAATCATTCATGAATTTAAAAGAAAAAAGAAAATTCTTAATAACTAGGAATAGAAAAAATCTTTCTCCAGAAGAAAAGAAATGAACACTACAGCAAGTATCTTAGTGGTGCAATGCTTAAATCTTCCCTCTGAGATTAGAAGTATTGCAAGGATGCTGGCCATCAACACCTCTTTGCAATATACTAGAAATTCTAGCCAGTGCAATAAGGAAAAAAAAAAAACAACCAAATAGAAGATATAAGCATTAGAAAGGAGAAATAATGTGTTATTAGCTACAATATTATTGGGAACATAGAAAATTCAAAACACTCTAGAGATAAGTTTTTAGAATTAATGTGTTTGGCAAAGTTCCCGAATATAAGGTCAATATACAGGAAAAAACCCTAATATTCCTATATCAATAATAAACAGAAAATGAAATTTTAAGAAGATACCATTTACAACAGCATTAAAATCATCAAATACCTAGGAATAAATTTAACAAAATATGTGCAGGATCTCTAAACAAAAACACTACAAAACAATATTGAGAGCAATTTAAAACCTAAATACCAAATGAAAGACCTAATAGAGGACATATTACTTTGATAAACTGGAAGACTCAATATTTTTATTTTTATTTTTTTATTTTTTTATTTTTTTTGAGACAGAGTCTCTCTCTGTTGCCCTGGCTAGAGTGAGTGCCCTGGCGTCAGCCTAGTGATGAGCAAATAAAAGATTATTTTAAAATATGCATTTGTTTCCTCCTCCCCAAGTCTATCTTTATTTTCATGCTATTTTTTTTAGTTCTTTCTTTTATATATTTTTAGTTGTCCAGATAATTTCTTTCTATTTTTTTTAGTAGAGATGGGGTCTTGCTCTTGCTCAGGCTGGTCTCGAACTCCTGAGCTCAAACGATCCACCTGCCTCGGCCTCCCAGAGTGCTAGGATTACAGGCGTGAGCCACTGCGCCTGGCCTCAATATTTTTAAAATATCAGTTTTACCCAACAAGTTTCAAGCCCCCCCACAGGAATTCATTTTATAGAAACTGGTAGGCAGTTTCTAAAATTTATATAGCAATAGAAAATTTCAAAAGTAGCCAAGGCACTCTTAAAGAAGATGGAGGGGTAAGGGGTATAGGAAGTGGAAGAGAGAGAGGTGAAGAGGGAGAGGGGGGAAGGATAAAGAAGGGAGAATAGGGCGGAGGAGGGGATGGGTATATACACACCTACGGGGTGCAGTGCGCATAGTCTGGGGGATGGACATGCTTGAAGCTCTGACTTGGGAGGGGCAAAAGCAATATATGTAACCTAAACATTCACACCCCCATAATATGCTGAAATAAAAAATAAATAGATAAATAAAAGAAGGGAGAATATATTGTACTGGTTAACAAGACTTATAAAAGTATAGTAACTTGACAGTGTAGTAGAGTTACAAGGGAGACAGATCAATACAACACAATGGAAAGTACAAAAACTCAGGCATGTAGGGACACTCCCTTTAAGACAAAGATGCTATGTATCAGTGGAAAAACCACAAACTTTTAAATAAACAGT